CACACCTGGAGGGCAACTTTCTTCTGTCCCTCGCCCGTACTTGCAAAGTGCCCTGCCCCAACCCTTATGGCGCCATATCAGGACAGACGGTGTCTGGGCCTCCCCTGCCACATGGGTATGTCTAGAGGTGAGAGCCTTTGTGACAGGCCGAAGGGATCACCTGGTGTCTTGCCCAGCACACCCTTCTGGGTTACCGCCACCTTTCCTTGCCTTGAAATTACCATCGTAATGCTAAACTGAGTAAACTAGTAGTGGCGCGAAGGAGTCCTGCCTGGCCAAACACCGTTGATTTTCTCCCTCTGGATATTGACCCGTTTGAGGTCCACTTATAAATTTATTTCAGCATTTCTGATCACCTGTATGCATGTGTTCTTTGAATTCTCCTTTGGACTGGTTATAACATTTTTTTTTTTTAGAAGAGAAACGACAGGATTTTGCTTTATTGTAGAGGGAGGGATCAAGGGGATATTTAACCGAAGGAAAAGGAAAACCAAGGTCAGGGAGTGTGGGGGAGCTGGCGCTGCCCCGGGGGCTGCCTCCAGGAGAGGCACCACGCACCACCCGGAAGCCAGGCAGGGATCGGCACTACGCCTAGACCACGCTCCCCTCTGAAGCTTCCCTGAGGGAAGGCCACCTGACCCAGAGAAACGTCAGAGGCCCGAGAGGGGCCCCGAGAGGTGCTGGGAGGCCGGCCAGGCCTCCATGGGACCATCTGGGCTCCTGGGGAGGAAAGAAGCACAGTCCAAGAGCATCCACCTTGAGACGGAGGCGGCACATCTTTCAAACGAAGCCCCAGTCAGGTGAGGGAAGATGCCCGCACATCCTCCCCCTCAGCTGCTCAGCCATGCTCCGGGCCAACATGGGCATCTGCTTGACTTTCCAGCTGTGCTGGGGACCAGCAGCACAGCCCCTCCCCTGGGCCCACTGTTACCACTGACACCCTCCTTTCAGCTCCCAAATACGTCCCGTGGTAACAAGCCCCGGGGCTCCCCACACAGGGCAGTGACTAGCAGCGCACACAGCTCTGGGGGCCGGCCGGGACCAAGCATCGTGGGACTTAGGGCAGTAGGAGCCTGGGACCCCTGCCCTGTAAGAGCTTTGGTCCAACAGGCCAAGTCCACCTACAGCAATAATGGTCCCTGGGACATCTTTGTTCCAGGGGACAGGGACATGGGTAAGACAGGGACTGGCTGGGGGCCCAGCGTCTCACCTGACATTCAGGCCTCTGCCACGGACCATTGGTTGTAACATTTTATCCATTTCCTCATTAATGAATGAGTGCAATAAAACCTTTGACATAGGGTCATTTTTCATCTGTGTAAGAACTGTGATTTCACCTCTTTAGAAAATATTATCCTTCAACAGCTGCTTCAGCTCCGCAGCTGTGGCATCCTGACTCACCACAGGCCCCAGCGGGACACAGTAAGTCAGGACACGTGGTGGGGAGACGGGAGGAGTCTTCATCTCAGAAGCCCTAGGCTGAGCTATGCAAGAGGGGGAGCCCTAGAGTCTTTCCCCCACCCTGTAATTTCCGTCAAAGACAGGAAAAGCCTCCATGGAGTAGAGCTGATGAGAAGAGGAGCTCTAACCTCTGCACCTGCAGGAACCTGGGAGTCCTCAGGCCTATACCACTAAGGCACCAGAAGGAGGTTCACAGTTACCAAGCTGTTGGCCTGAAATTGTGTAACATGCTGGTGTAGGGGAGGGGAGATAACTTTCCTTTTACCCTTCTAAATTCTTCTGGCCGGTCTAACACTCAAATTGGCATGAGAAAGACTAACAGGAGAAATGATTCAAATTGGCTACATATGTAGAAACGGGGCTTTCCGGAGAATAAGGGATCAGAGTATAAACTGGGCAGCTGAGGTGTATGAGACATCTTGAGTTGAGGAAAAAGAGGGGTAGTGGTTTGGACTTCAAGGGAAGGGAGGCGATTCACAGGTAGATGGCAGGGAGCAAACATTTGGTTAAAAACAAAACAAAAAATCCTTGCTAGCCACCAGAAACAATGGAACACTGAGGAAAGTCTATAACAGATTTTGCTACGTTCCTCACAGTCTGCCACGCTCCATTCATGTTATGCTAAGGTGATAGCTCCCTTCATTTAAGCAGGTTCTTCTATCTGAATTCCTTTAGGCAGATAAGGGGGAGGTAAAAGGCTCTTCCTGAGTCTTTTGTTTCTTAAAAACAGCCAGCTTAAAATAGCCAGTAACCCAAAAAGCCATATTTTGGGGAGGGAAAATGCTGCACCCTCTCACTGGTTAGCAGCTTGTGCCTATCAAAGCAAAAACTGCACTGGGCAGCATGGAACAAGCAAGGAGGGCTTTTTAAAAAAGTGTTTTCCTTTTTCAAGTACAGTTGGCATTCGCTATTCTATTAATTTCAGGAGAAGGAAGATTTTATTCACGCGTACTGCAACCAGGGGATAGGCCAGAACTCAGTGTGAACTCAACTCAGCTGAAGCAAAGGGCAGTTGGGTTTTCAAGGGCTGGGGAGATGGCGAGCTCGTAGGTCAGCTGTGTTTGCTAATTGGCTTCACCCGAAGGAAGAGGAAACTTTCTCATATCTTTGTGATAGGAAGTAGTTTTCCTACAACTGGGAGAAGCACCCACTGAAGATAGGAACCTGCCCTGCTGGGGAAGCGGGGGAGATAGAGGTGCTCCCTCTTTCAATGTTTACATTTCAAAGAGATGGTTCCCAGGACCTTGAGAAAGGCATTTCCTGGGCTGTCAAACAGGCAAGAGGCTCTTGAAAGAAATTCACACAGATGTCAAAGGAGCAGCCGAAGAATTGAGGATGGCAAGTTTTCTGAAGCACGAAACTGCAGGGACCAGACAGGACGTCTGGGGCAGATCTGCATTCCGCAGGGGCCGGCTGACGGCGGGGGGGGGGGGGGGGCTAGTGTGAGACGTAGGTCAGGGAGAGGCGGGGCGAAGCCTGTCTCAAGTTTAGTCAAGCTGAGGGAAAAGTTACAGTCGTTCTCCTGCTCCGTAAACCCGGTCTGCCTGGGTTCAAATCCGGTCTCCATTGCTTACTGGGATTAAATTTCTCAATCTTTCTGGGCCTGGTTTCCTCACCTTGGAAAATGCAGATGATTACTACTTACCTCATAGGATGGTTATGTAGGTTAAATAGGTTAATACAGGTACAGCACTTAAAACAGTACCTGGCACGTAATATTGATTGATGCATTGCTTGCTGCGGGTTAAATTACGTTACCCTTCTGCATCTCAAATCATCCCATATGAGAATTTATATGGAAAATTAAATGAAAAAATAATGTTACCTACTAAAGAAAAAGAAAATTAAACAAGCTGATGGATGCAAACACGCTTAGCCCAGGCCTGGTGTCTGGTAAGACTTTTTTAAACTGGCCAACACTCACCCTGACCGGTGTGGCTCAGCTGGTGGGCGTCATCCCGCAAACCGAACGGTTGCTGGTTTGAGTCCCAATCAGGACACATGCCTATGTTGTGGGGCGTGCGAGAGACAACCAAATGATGTTTCTCTCCTTCTCTTTCTCCCTCCCTTTCCCTCTCCTCTCCCTAAAAATAAAAATCTTTTTCTGAAAAACTAAATAAATAAAAATGGCCAACATTCTTGCAACTGTAGTTACTATTTTACCACTGTAATTTGCTCATGGTCTTATTAATTTTCTATTTTGTTACTCTAATCATTAGTTGCTATGGTTTTGTTATTACCTCATGCTACTCCCTATTAATAGTGATGTCAGTTCGATCCCCAGTCAGGGCACGTACAAGAAGCAACCAATGGATGCATAAATAAGTGGAACAACAAGTCTATGTTTCTTTCTCTCTCTCCCCCATAATCAATAAATTAAAATTAAAAAAAAAAAATAGTACCCCGACAGGCATGGCTCAGTGGGTTGGGCATCGTCCCGCAAAATGAAAGGTCACTGGTCTGTTTCCCAGTCAGGGCACGTGCCTGGGTTGTGGGCCAGCTTCCTGGGTGGGAGCATGCGAGAAGCAACCACACACTGATGTTTCTCTCTCCCTCTCTTTCTCCTTCCCTTCCCTTCTCTCTAAAAATAAATAAAGTTTAAAAAAATACTCATATCGGCAATATCACTATTATTATCATCTCACTATTCCCATGCATCAAGCAGTCCCAAAGCCTGCCCGCCCCTCCAGTTCCCTAGAGAGGCATTTCCTCCTGGGGGCCCCTACGACTTCATCTGTTTTGTGGAGGCAGAATGGAGCTCAGGCCCCAAGTCCCCAACAGGAAGCAAAGACTGCCAGCAGTGCCCTCCAGCCCTTTGGACAAGTGGGACACAGTGGCTGAATCCACTGAATAAATAAGACAGCAGACAGATGGCAAGGAGGGCGGTGCCTGGAGGCAGTGTACAAACCCATTCAGCAAAGTTGCCCTCTGCTCCCTAGCATTGCTGAAGACCCCATTCACCCCATGACACTGATTAGTGAATTCACCAGTGCCCCTCTCCCCGGTGGGATCACCCACAAGCTGGTGAAACCCCAGGAGATGAAGGGGGTTCAAGCCCAGACTTCCCCCAGGGCTGTCTCAGCTCCTCTTAAAGTTCTTGGCATGTCCACCCTAGCTCAGCTTCAAGGGGTTATTGTAAGAAGTGAGGTAGAGCCCTGGCGGGTGTGGCTCGGTGGATTGAGCGCCAGCCTGCACACTGAAGGGCTGCTGGTTCAGTTCCCGGTCAGAACGCATGCTCCGGGCTGCAGACCAGGTCCCCAGTAGGAGGCACGGGTGAGGCAACCACACACTGATGTTTCTCTCCCTCTCTTTCTCTCTCCCTTCCCCTCTCTCTAAAAATAAATAAAATATTTTAAATAAAAAGTGAGGTAGACATGACACCTTCACAACACTGTAAAAATTCAACTTTTATTGAGGCCGTTTCCAGAAACTGACCACAGAGGCATGCAGCACAGTCTCTGCCCTTGAGGAGCTCACAGTCTAGTAAGGAAGACAGAGATGGAAACAATTCCCGCGGAGATGGAGGGGCAGGGCCAGCTGCCATCGGAGGAGGGAACCATTACCCCACTCTGCCTGCCCCCAGTCCAGTTTGGCTGGGAAAGGGAATGGGAAGCTTATCATTGTCTCTCCCACCGTTCTGTGAATATCCTGACTAGGCATCATGACGAGGGGGGTACATTTGCTGCCTCAAAAAGCTAGAACACCCAGGAGGATATATACAATGGTAACATTATTTCCCGAAGAAGCCGCAAACCAGTGCAGCAGAAGCCAGCAGTACTGGGGTGAACTGGAAAAACCGGGGCTGGGCCAGCCCAGTCCAGTGGTGGGAAAGGGAAGAGAGGGTACCCCGGGGCTGGCAAGGAGGGCAAGAGGGAGTTTCCCAGATGGAGACGCTCACAGCAGGGCGCCCACAGCCACCGCCAACAGCAGAGGCGCCAGCCCTGCCAAGGGAGCTGCAGAGCCTTTATTATGGGCCCAATTTTTTGTGACGTACTGCTCCTTATTACTACGGTCCTGGTGACCAACACCACCTCCAGACAAGCCAGGTTCGTCTTTCAGGGAGATCTCATGTTCTACTTCCTTTGGAGGAGTCTGGCTGGCGGAGGCTGGAGTGGGTTTGGTGGTGGAGACCGGCGTGGCTGGGGTCGGGGTCGAGGTGGAAGGGGTGACGCCGGTGGCTGGAGCCCGGGGGGTGGGCTGAGGAGCCGGCAGCAGGACGAGGGGCGGGATCCGCGGCGAGAAGTAGGTCTTGTTGCGCAGGTCCGCGTTGCAGCGGGACCCCTTGCAGCAGGAGCCGCTGAGTGTGAACCCCGGGCCTGTCACCGTTTCCCGGGTGCAGAACTCGTCCTGGACGCAGCCCCGGACAGGCAAGGAAACAGTCACGTTTGCTGAAGGAGGGAGACACAGGCAGGTGAGTGACGGCAGTGGGACCGGGAGGCCCAGCTAGAATGAGACTGGGAAGGGCCCGTTAATCCAAAAGGCTGCGCTGAGGCCCCGCTTTGAGAAACACTGCCCCAGGCTTTGGCTTTTGATGGACCGCATTTCCCCTGGTACCTTGGGAGGAAAAGCGCATAGGCTGAACCTCAAGCCCAACAGTGCCTCGAAGGAAAGGTTTGGACAGGGATACCGCACCTCTCACACGGCCAAAGAGAAAAACAAACATCCACGACCTCCCTCCCACCATTTTCCCACATACCTCTCCCCCTAACCGCGCCAATATTTAGTCCCAGAGTCAGAACTCTCTCTCCCCGAAAACGCCTGGCAGAGGACAGCGTTGGAAGAACATCTCCCATGACTGCCCGAGGCCGAGGCCGGAGGCTGAACGGCACCTCTCCTAAGTAGCGGGGCGGGCGCCGTAGCCCCCTGAGGTTTAAGGAGTCAGAACTAGATTCCCGCAATGCCCGGGCAGAAACTGGAAGATTTAAATACATTTCCCATTGCACATCCCTGCCTTCCGCACTTAGTAGGCCTCTCTGGAAACATATTTCCCCAAAAACTAGGACAAAAAGCCAATCTTATCCCCGTGCTATACTGGGGATAGGACTGCATTTCTCTTGACGCTTTAGAAAACAAGACAAGCACTCAGGCCTACAGCTCCCGGGGTGCGGGGGCGGGGAGGGGGGTGCTTCGAGTACAGGACTATCACCACCCAGGAGGCCTCAGAAAGGCCACAGCTCCCCGGGGCTCGCTCACCTGCAGTCAGGGTGACGTTGCCGTCGAAACAGCCCTTGTAGGCGCGGTCGCTGGCGTTGTAGCAGCTCACGACCGGCGGCTTGGTGCCCCGGCACGCCTCGCGGCTCAGCCCCACGCAGCTGTAGCACTCGGCGCCGTTGGGCTCGTACGCGCTCTCGTTGCCTGCGAGGGGAGCGGGACGGAAGGGAGGGGTTGAGCTCCGCCGGGGGTCGCTACCTTCCACATCTCCGCCCCTCGTGGGCGCGGGCTCAGCTTCTAGCTCCGCCCCACCGTGCGAGCCCGCCTCCTGAACCCGCCTCTAGAGTCCGGTCTCACAGGTGCCCTACGGCAGTGAAGTCCCGCCGGTCGCCTCTCGGCCCCACCCCAGAGCGTGTCCCCGCCGCGAGCCCCTCCGGCCCGGGATCACCCCTAGCGGCTCAGGCCCGATGTGGCTCCGCCCCTGGGCCTAGGGCTCGGCTCCCACCGACCTGCCGGGGTGAGCGCTCGCGAGCTGAGGTTGAGCTTGGCGTTGCAGCGGTCCTCGGCGCACTGTTGCAGCTGGATGAAGGCCAGAAGCCCGGCAAGGTCCAGTCCGCGGTCATTCTTGCCCGGCAGTCCCGAACCGCAGCCGCGCACGGCCACCGAGAATTGTCCGTGGACTGCGGAGAGGAGAGAGGGCGCAGTCAGAGGAGGCCAGGGCCTCGGAAAGAGCTGATTGTAAAGAATGACAAACGGAGGGGCGGAGCTTCAAAAAGCTGAGTCCGAGTCCAGGCCGGCGTGGCTCCGTGGGTTGGGCGTCCTTCCGCGCACGGAAAGGTCGCTGGTGGATTTCTGGTCAGCGCACGTGTCTAGGTTGCGGGCCAGGTCACCGGTTGGGGGCGTGGGAGAGGCAACCGATGGATGTTTCTCACATGGATTTCTCTCTACCTCTCTTTCTCCCTCCCTTCCCCTCTTTATAAAAATTTAAAAATTAAAAAAAAAAAAAAGCAGCGTCGGAGGGGCTGTCAAGCTGACAGACACTGAAAAGAAGTCTGGCTGTAGTAAAAGGGTGGAACCGCAGAAAGCAACCTCAGGAGGAACTGAGAGACAGACAAAGACCAGGGATCCGAGAGGGGTGGAGCCCCCGAGGAGCTGAGGCCTCCGACGGGGGTGGGATGTGGGTTAGAGCGTCAGAGCCTCCTCTCCCGTCACCGTAGGAGAGGGGAGGAGAACATTCTGGTACGGACAGAAATGGGCAGAGAGGTCTCAGTGGTGGAGCAGAAATGAACAGGCTGTGCCCTCCATCGAGGGGGACGAGGGCCCAGATCCCGGCCCTCCTAGTTCACCCTACCCAGGTCGCAGCTTTCAGCCCTTCACCCCTCGAAGCCCTAGGGGCCCCCGCCAGGCCGAAGAGGCCAAGCTGAACGGGCGGGATGGCCCTGCTGGGAGGGGTGTGGCCAAGTTCAAGGGAGGGGCGGGACCATGAGGAAGTGGGAGCCGGCCGGAGAAACTCGAAGGAGGGGGTACCCGGACTAGGGGGCCCACTCACTGGTCTCCACCGCCCCCACGGCCTCTGTGCAGACTTCCACTCCTGGCGCGCACTTGACGGTCTTGGTCTTCTGCGGCGAGCATCCGTCGTCTGCTTTCTGCACGCAGCTGTAGCACTCCAGGGCCCGAGCTCCTGGGAGCGCGGGGCGGGGTGGAGTGAGCGCCCTCTAGATAAGCCCCCTCACCCCCGGCACCGCAGGGCGAGGTAGCCCTTCCCACGCCCTCTGGCCGCAGGACGAGACAATCCTGCTGCACACCCTTGTCTAGGGCAGGAGTAAGGAAAATCTTCCCACCAACCTGGGGTCACGGGATACATTGTGTCCCTCTCCTTCAAGCCCTCTATGCCTACACCTGGGAGTATCTTTCCCACAGCGCCTTATACCCAGCGTGGGGGATACCCGAGCGGGAGCCCTGGGAGAACTTTGCCCTGCACCGGGAGCGCCCTCCCACACTTCTCCGCTCGGGAAGGGATCCCTTTCCACAAGCTGCCTCTGACCGGGGCAGCGGACCCTCCCACAGCCCCCGCTCTGCTCAAGATGGAAGAGCTTCTCCCACAGTCCCCCAGGGCAGGAATCCTTCCCACAAGCCCCCTTCCCAGGGCAGCTGATCCTTCCCACAACCCCTCCGCTCAGGATGCCGAGATCCTCCCCACAGCCCTCGCTGTAGGGGGTGAGGGGACCTGCTCCTCGGAGCCTCCGCGCTGTCCCCTCTGACCCCTCCCTGCGGCAGACCTACCTTCTCCGAGCAGCAGCGGCAGCAGCAGCCAACCTGCCGTCCAGATCACTGCCTGGGCACCTGCTTTCCTGGCAGGGGCCATGCTTCGATCCTGCTTCCTCGGCGTCCCCCCTTGGTGTGCCACCTCCCAACCCAGTTCCTCTTACCTGAGCCCAGGATGAGTAACCTTCCCCCAGGCAACGTTGGCCTTGCCCAACCAGGCCAAGTCAGCGTCCGCTGTGGGCGCGGGACACCCGCCCCTGGGTGGGCCTCCCACAGCTGCCAAGGAGTGAAATGGCAGGGGTCCAGTTCCCTGACAGTTCTCAGGAGGAAGTCTGTGTGCTTGGAGGGGAGAGTGCTGAGGTTCACCGAGGGGCCTGCTCAACGCTGGGCGCTCACCAAATGTTTCATGAGAGCCAACAGTGCGCAGGCTTTGGTCTGGGCGGCCTGGAGATAAAGACGGAGCCAGTGGCTGTCCTCACAGAGCTCACAGTCTGACAGGGGAGACAGTTATTCATCGAATAATCCTACAAATTGTTATGACAACGAGCACAATGAAGGGTGAAGTGGAGGGAGCTACAAGGCGTGTGGAGCCCACAAGTGGGGACTGGTCAGTGAACCTTCCCTGAGGACGTAATTCAAGCTGTGGTCTCAGACGTGGAAGGTTTAGCACATGAAGCAGGTTGGGGTGGGAGCCAAGAGCGTGATGAAGCAGAAGAGCAGCAGATGCAAAGACCTACAGATGGGAAGTACCATGAGCCGTTCAAACTCAGAGGAGAGCAGTGTACCTGGAGCTCAGAGGGCAAGGGGAAAGGCAGAAGCACCAGGCCGGGGGCAGAGCATTTAGGGCATCACAGACCCTGAGCAGGGATTGGAATTGATTCTGAGAGAGGTGGACAGACTCTGAGAGTGTCTCAACCCGCTGGGGACACAATGAGACCTTTCTAATGTGATCGGCCTGGGAAAGAATGCCAATATCCTCCAAGAAGTGAATGGAGAAAGAGTGGGCCACCTGTGGAATACTCTACAGCCATGAAAAAGCCACCCGATGGCCTCAGCAATGTGGATGGAGCTCAGAACCCTCATGTTGAGTTCAGGGAGCCTTAAACAAGGAAAACATACCTTACAGCTCCACTTACATGAAGTTCTAGACCAGGCAAAACTAGCCAGTGGTGAGGGAATTCACAGTAGGTGTTATCATTGGCTGGGCACCGCCCCGAAGGAGCAGTGGTGAGAAGCCCCCACAATCTGCATCTGGGTGGTGGTCACACATGTGTGCAAATATGTAAAGAATCACCAAGCTGTATATTTACACAAGTCACTGACTGTACATTATTATGAAAGAAAGAAAGTAGAGCCCTGGCCAGGGTGGCTCAGTTGGTTGGAACGTCGTCCGGTAAACTGAAAGGTCACGGGTTTGATTCCCGGTCAGAGCACCTGCCTACGTTGTGGGTTCTGTCCCCAGGTGGGGCACATATGAGAGGCAGCGGGTCCATGTTTTTCTCCCTCTCTCTCTCCTTCCCTTCTCCTCTCTCTAAAATCAATAAGCATGTCCTCAGGTGAGGACGACAACAACAAGAAAAAAGAATGAAAGAGGAAAATATCTCTGTGGCCTTTGTGTAAATTAGTAAAACACTACAGAAGGGGAGAGAAGACCAGGAGTCCAGTAAGGGAACTGGACAGTTTTCCCGGTAAGAAAGAGAAAGGAGTAGGCCTGGCACTCTCAGTAAAGCCATGGTGTTCTGTGACCCCCCAGCACAGGCCACTCCCGACAGACAGGGCCACACTGTGACCGGGATGGAGCACGACACGGTCAGGACCACTGCGTCACCAGGTCTGTACACAGAAACCAACCAGAGCAAACCACAGAATAACCAAGCATCCCTATATCTGGGCTTTAATATAAGTGACTGCTTATATTATATTTATTATATTATGTTATGTTAAAGTTACAGCTTCACTCTTGCTTTGCTTCTCCTGACTCATAGGTAAGATTTACCTATGGCAGTAAAAATAGTGGCTGTGTTCATAAAGATATCATCTGTTCCCCAGACCTCGTTGGGCACCCCCGCTCCCAGCAATGACTAGCACCTCAGTCAAAGGTGGGGTCACCTGGCATCGTGTTGAGAGAGAAAGTGAATGGCTGCTTGTAAGGTCATTCAGCACTGACCCCCTTCTCTGCCTCCCAGCCTTGGAATCCAAGCCCCACTTATGGTTTGCTGTGTGACCCTGTATTAAGTGTATTCACCTCTTTGAACCTTCAAGGTGCCCTTTATAATAAAGGAAGGAGAGTCTTTCATGGTGGAGTGAGGCAGTGGGCAGAGTGTCGAGTTTGGAATTTTAATCCTGCCTCTGCCATCGTCCTGCTGTGTGACCTCCAACGACGGTGTCTCCTTCTCTGAACTTCGGCTGCCTCCTTTGCCGAATGGGTCTGAAAACCCCTATCTCTTGAGGGGTGCAGGGAGGCCAGCTGATAATACTATTATTATTATTCTGTGCTCAAAAGCAGGAGGCCCTGGAGGGCCCAGCCGCGTGGGAGAGTTTCAGGGAGGAACCCCAACTGGCTGGACCAGAAGAACTAGCATCTTGGGAGGGAGCGGGACCCAGGGTGGGGAGCCTCCTCTTGCTCAGGCCTGCCCAGATTCCGGGCATTGACCCCCACCTGGCCCTGGCCCAGAGAGCAGAGGGAGGTTTGAATGCAGGGCCTCTGCTTAACCTGCTCAGTGACTCTTCCCCGCGCCACTCCTCAGAGGTTACTGCACAGAGACTTAGAATCTGGTTCCCCAGGTGAATGCACAGAGGGGTCAGTGCAGAGGCGGTCCCCAGTCCTGGAGGTCACACCAGGGCCTCAGACGAGCCTGCGGTCATATGCACGATGGGTTTCCTGTCCCCCGGGACAGGGCAGGCACTGAGCCCGGTGACATTCCCAGCCTGTCTCAGACTCACCCCTCTGCGATGTGTCAGAGAAGGGGTGGGGTCAGGGGCAGTGCTGGCTCCAGAAACTGTGGGGCTCAGTACAAAATGAAAATATGGGGTCCAGTTCAAAAAGCAGGGAAAAAAATACCGTTAAAAATAAGAAAAATAGAAACTCTTCCACCATCTCTCTTGACCCCTCGTGGTGTTTAATGCCATGTTCCCTTGGGCACAGGGATACCTGTGGGGTGAGCACAGACCCTGAGAGGTGTCTAGAAACCCTGCCCCATAACGAGAGCGACCTGGGTGTGGGCCCCCTTTCTGCCTGCTGCCCATAGCCACACCCCACCCTGAGATGCCATAGGGGCCAGGTGCCTGACCTCGAGCTTCCTGTGTACACTCAGGCCCTGCTCAAACTGGAGGGGGGCAGTGGTCACAGGGAGGGAACAGGGAAGGGGAGGCAGACTGAACCGGTCCCAGGGAGGTGAGAGGTGGAGCCTTGCCTCCAATCCCCTCAACTCATGCTTCACATCCCTTCAGACTTCACTTATAAAACACAAATTCAAATACAAATTTGAAAAAATTAGGGCTTTCCGGACAGCAACCACCGAACATCAATCCAGAGAGCACTCTCCGGAGCACGCAACCCGTCAGCTACACTGGTCACAGGCCATAGAGCTGGCCCCAGTAAGTGCCCAGTTTGCAGAGAGGCTGGGGGATGACCTGATCCAAGAATGCAGGTGTCGCCAACGTGGAGGTGGGGGTCAAGGGGACACCTGGGGTCACTGAGAGCCTGGGGAATAGGGTGTCAGCATTCCTGGGACTCCGGAGGGACTGAATACCTTGTTTCAGAAGGGGCAAGGGGGACCTGTCTCCACACGGTGACAGCCTTGGATAGTCACTGTGGGACAGCCTGGGGGACTGTGGTAGCCCAGGATAGGGAACAGGAAGAGCTTCCTGAAAGAGGGGACGTCATGGGCCAGACCTGAAGGATCAAGAGTTCTGTCGGCCTTATCTACCACTGTCCCCAGTCCTCAGCATCTCTTTCTCATCAATTTATTAAAACAGTCCCTCAACGCCTGGTTTGCACGAGGCCCTTGGCTCTGCATGAGGGGCTCAGCAGTGACTGAGACCGCCCCAGGCCCTGACTTCGGGAGCTCCCATCCTGCGCAGAGACACACTCATCAGCAGTAATGACCCAGAGTAGTCAAGCTGTGATGAGTGATCAGAGCTCGGATGGGAAGCCCAGAGGAAGCATCTGACTCAGCCATGAGAATCAGGGAAGACACCCTGGAGGAGGAAACATCTGAGCTAATACCTAAATGATGAGTAGGAATTGGGTAGAGTGGGGAAAGGTGTCTAAGCAAAGAGGTGAAAGAGAAGCATTACTTTTTTCACTTTCACGGAATGAAACGTGCCCTGTGGTGCTGGGGACACAGCACTGACCAGGACAGCCTTGGCTCTGTCCTCACAGAGCTCCCAGTCTGGAACATAAACCCATCACCGGTGATAACCTAGGTGTTCAGGGATGGGACAGGGGAGTTCAAAGCAGTGCCCGACCCAGCCAGTTATAGGCAGGGCACAGAGGATACCATGTTCCAAGGCCTAATAGCTCCTAATAATTGTCAAGAGCCTAGTCAATCAAAAAGGGTATGCGCAGCCCTGGCTGATATGGCTCCGTGGATTGAGTGCCAACTTGCAAACCAAAAGGTCTCTAGTTTGATTCCCAGTCACGGTACATTCCTGGGCTACAGGCTAGGTCCCTGGTTGGGGGGAGTGTAAGAAGCAACCGATTGATGTTTCTCTCCCTCTATATCTTCCTCCCCTCCCCTCGCTCTAAAAACTAAATAAAATCTTTTTTTTAAGGGGGAGGTTGGAAGCAGGTGGTCCTACAAACCAAAATTGCCAAAAGCTGGGGACGCAGGCTTCTCCACACCCCTTACCCAGCCGGGACCTTAGAGTCTAAGGCCTCCATTTTTTTTTTTTTTTTTTTTTTCCCCTTCCCTTCCCTTTCATTTTTTTTTAAAAGGGAAGAACCGGCTGGGGGACGCGTGACTTTCCGCCGTACCCATAACTCGGACGTCCTGACTACGCTGCGGAGCCGAGGGGCCCAGACGCCTGGGCTGGAGAAAACAACAACCGGTTTTTCCTCCATGTTTAATTCGGTATCACAGAAGCACCAATAAATAGTTCCTGCCCGCCCCCGCAATCTTCCTCCTGCCCGGCACAGGGCCCCAGGGGCTGGCTTCCCGTCGGGGGAAGGCACCTGCAGCCCCCAGAAAGCACCGCGGCTCAGGCCAGCAGAGCCGCAGCATCTGGAGAAATCCCGGAGTTCCAAAGGGGCGGGCCCAGGCTTTCAGGCAGTGGGCGGGGCCTCAGGGGCACCATGCGCGTAGGCGGAGCCTCGCGGGGACGTCCGCCGAGAGGGTGGGGCCGCTCAGGGAGCGTGGTTCTCGTCTGCGGCCGTCACGATGACGTCCATCCAAATGCGCATGGCCTCGGGGCTGGGCGCCACCATGTAGAAAAGGCGTTCGTAGGTTTTGACGCAGAACGTCAGGCGAGGGTTGGGACTCTGGGATAAGTCGAGAAGTAGAGACGGTTAAAAGACCGTATAGGGAGGAATTACAGCCCCGGGTGGCATTGGACCACTGGACAAGTTCATTAGACTCGCTGAATCTGTTTCCCCATCTGCCCTCCTAAATAATGACATCTATCTCATTGGGTTACGAGGGTTAAATGAATTAATACAGGAAAGGGCTTAGAATTTGAGGAGAGAGGAACTTGAAAGGAGGACCCATGTTCCTTTCCCCCAGCCTACCTTTTCCTATATTAGAAATCTAAGCATTCAGATTTCCCCTCTGCAAAATGTTCTCTCTGAGGGGAAAGCCAGCGTGCTCTGCAATCCATTTACTGAGCACTCACTTGCCAAGCCCAAATTCAGTAAATCCCTTACATGCATTATCTGTCTGTAACCACCTCACCTCTGCGGAAATGGGTTGAAGTGTGCCCATTTTGCAGGTGAGAAAACTAAGGCTGGCAAAAAGAAGTCACCTCCCCAACGTCCCACTGGTTGCTTTCTACAGCTCTTTCTAAACACCGTACCAGTTGCCAACACTTAAATTTTTGGCACTGCATTGTTATAAAAGTTCAAATTCCTGAATCCTCTAGGGAAAAAAAAAAATAGGATGCGACTTGGGGCTCATTCTGATTTGGCAACTACGGTCAGAAGCTGGAACCACAGTCTCCTCCGGATGCTCCCAGGCCGCCCCAGCCCTCACCCTGCCCTCTTCATCCATTCATCTCCAACTTCGCATCAGAGTTTGCCAAACTTTTGCTCTAAGAAGAGTAACAGTGGCTGAGAGCCAGAGACCGCGCTCTTAACTTTGGGTCCCTGCAGTGAAATGACCTGTTGATCCCCTGTACTGGATGGAGAACCCTAACAGCGGGCGTTGTGGGTGGCCTTTCCTGGGAACTAACTAAGGCCTGACTGGAGGGGCTCAACCAGAAGGACAGGGCAGCACCAAGCAGGGACTTCACCTTGAAGGCACAGCGTAGGTGGTCGTAATAGACTTCCTCAATGGCCTGGAAGTAGATGACGCCTTTGAGTTTGGACTCTTCCTTATCTGGCAGGGAGGTGAGGGAGAAACAGAGCCAGTGAGGGGGGTGTGTGGTGGGCAGGGTGCAGTCACTGGGCCCAAGTCCTCAGACCGGGGTTGGGGTGAGGAATGTGGTGACAGTCTGAAGGTCCCTAAAGTGCTGTAGTTGGAAGGTGAGCGAACGTTGATGCTAAATGGGAAACTGGTGTGGAGTCTGGACAATACTAGGGAAAGCGGTTGGAATCCCAGGCCCCTGAATGCCCTGGTCCCTGACAAGGGAAGGGACTCAATAAGAGGTCAGGTGCATTGACTCCCCTAGAGATAAATCAAGAGGGGCCTGGACTCCTGGGTGATGGAGGTGGGGGAGGGCACTGACAATGTGCATTCTGACTCCTCCTGGGTGTCTTAGGAAAATGGGGCCTGGGGAGCCAAAGTTGTACAAAACCGTTACCCATGTTACTGAGGCAGGCCTTCTAGAGGAAGAAGGGGATGGAGATCTGGACTCCTGGGTCCTGGGGGAAGAGGGAGCTGGGAGCCCAGACTCCTGGGTTCTGGTGGGTTAGGAAGGAGCAGGGGACCAAACTCTTGGACCCTGGGGAAAGAGGAGACCGGGGGCCTAGACTCCGGAGTCCTGAGGGAGGAAGGGGCCGGGGATCCAGACCTCTGGGCCTAAGAGAGAAAGGAGTGGGGCCGGGACTCCTAGGTGTCTGGTAGGAAAGCCCTGGGAGTGGACGCCTCCAGGGTCCTGGGGGCCACGGCAGGCAGGCTGGGTTTACCGGCATAGTAGGCCAGGCGGCGGGCCTGGCGGTCAAAGCAGAACCATCGCTTCCTCCAGGTCTTGATGCGCCCGCCCATCTTCACCAGGGGCCCGCGGCAGCAGCCCCCAGACACCTGGACATGTGGGCAGTTTTCGGGGTTGTGGCCCCAGCGTTCCAGGTGTAGCTGGAGATCCAAGACCCGGGGCCCTAGGGGGCGGGGTGGGAGCGTGGGCGTGGCCTGGGAGAAAAGACAAGGGGGCAGCTGAGGGCGCAGGGTCAGGAGGGGATCCTGAAGCCTGGAGCCCATGTGAGGACCTCACCTCCAAGACCTCTTACAGCCTTTAAACAGTTAACACTTAACAGTGACGATCGTGATGGGGAACCAGACCGCTACATTCACTGACTAGGAAACTGACGGAGCTTTACCAGCATCGACCCCTTGACTCCCCACTGCCGCCCCTGGGGCTACAATAAGCCCCGTATTACAGGTGAGCAAAGTGAGGTACAAAGGGATGAAGTAATCCACCCAAGGCCACCCAGAGCTCAGGTGGCAGAGCTGGGACTGGAACCCAGGGCTTCCTGCCCTAAGAGCTCACCCTGAAACACCAGAGGCATGTCAGAGAGGTGAGGGGCACCTGGGTCAGCGCCCCCAAAAGGGGACCCTCATATACTGCCTCTGTAGAGCAGGGATCAAATAGTAAGTGAGCAAAAAGTGAGAGCACTGTTTCTATTATTATTGCTGTTGTGATGAAATTAGTGATTATTACCTGCGTTAAGCACTTTATAGGTATAATTCCTCTGCTCACTCCAACCCTCATGCGAGGTAAGTACGTTATTATCCCCATTTTAAAGATATGGAAACCAAGACTCAGAGACTTTGTCACTAGACGCAAGTCACACAGCCAGAGATAACCAAGACAGGACTCACCAGGCGGTGGTCACCTGAGGGGGTCGTAAAGGGGAGAAGAATTAAATTAAGGCCCTGACAGTGTCTGCTGTTACCAGGTCCAGCCTGATCACACCTACTCTACCCGAGTGTTCGCTGTGAAGAATGGCATGACCTCGTCATCAGAAGGCTCAGGGCCAGCCTCAGACCTGCGTGCAAGCAGAGCCCCTGGGGATTTTGTTAAAATGTAAACTCAGATTCAGTCATTCTAGGTGGGGTGTGGAGTGAGGTTCTGCCTGCCTAACAAGCCCCAAGGACGCTGATGCTGTTGGTCCCCAGACCACACTTTGAGTATCGAGGGCTGAGAAGACGGAAGCAAGGCCAGAGCAAGAAGGGAAGAGAAACAGATGGGACTCCTTGGATGGAGACAGGGAGAGTGAGCAGGAAAAGAAGGGGGGGCGGGGGGAATGAGGAGTGCGCAGGAGGGACAGAGGCAGTTAAAAGCACCCCTGCTGGGGCCTGGAAGCACACGGGCCATCTCATCCAACCCATACAGTAACACTACTGATTGCCACCGTGTATGGGAGGCTGCCTGGGGCTCACCATGATCACCTTGTTCCTTCTCCCAAATCACCTGTTAGCACCCCCATTTGACAGCTGAGGAAACTGAGGCTTTAGAGAGGAGGCGACTCACCTGGTCACCCAAGTAGGGCCTGGGGGAGCCCGCCCCGATCCAAGAGAGCAGAGGTGGGCTCCAGACTCTCCGCTCCCTCCCCGCTACCCACCCACACAGAACCCCTGCCCCTCTGGAAGCCTCAGTTTTCCCCACACTGAACCTCGGGGGTTCACAGCACAGGCAGCTTCAGGGATGCGCTCGCCGCTGATGTCAGGCTCTCCAACCTGGTGATTCTACTTTTAGGCACAGACCCAGAGACATACTCTTTAATAAATGATGCTGCTACAAAGCAGGGGAGATTCATTTTTAATGAGCTAGAGCTTGCGCTCTATTTTACTCTGCTTTATTTTACTCCCTGGCTCCTATCAGCACCTGACACGCACTTTATTTTACTTACTGATTGGGCTTTTTTTTAAAAAAAGCTTTATTATTATCTTTCTAATCCTCACGGGAGCTTATCTTTTCTTGATTTTAGAATGAAAGGGACATTAATGTGAGAGAGAAACATCAACTGGTTTGCCCCCTGTACAGGCTACAGGTGGGATCAAACCAACAACGTACGTGTGGACCCTGACTGGGAGTCAAACCCCCACATTTCCGTGTATGGGACGATGCTCCAGCCAACTGAGCCACTTGGCCAGGGCTAATGCAGCTTTTTGTTTGCCCCCCCCCATAAACGCCAGTGTCTCCAAGGGCAGGAGTTGTTATATTGGTTACCCCCGCAGCCCAGGGCCCTCTGCACAGTGAGCATCTCATAAACAGAGGCTGAAACAAATAAGGAAAGGACCAGGAAAACAGAAAGCAGGTTGGGAACAATATACTCATTTTTGGGAAAAATAAATTGACAAAACATGGTTGGATCAGTGTATGTGGAAAATGAGTAAGGAGATTCGAAGGCTTTTTCACAACAGAAAATGCCTGGGCCTCCAGAGGTACGACAAGGAGTGGGGCTCAAGGGTGACCTTCCCTCTCCTGTACTGTCACATTCTTTATAACAAAAATGCATCCATGCTATGAGCAGTTAAAAATAACATTTTAATAAGGAGCCCGTCAGCTAAATCCAGAATGTGAGGAACTGTACAGGGTAAATGACTTGAGTTTTTTTTCCATGAAAAAAAAGGTATTATGCCCCAGCTGGTGCAGCTCAGTGGACTGAGTGCCGGCCTGCGAAACAAAGGGTCACCGGTTCAATTCCCAGTCAAGGCACATGACTGGTTTGTGGGCCAGGTCCCCAGCTGCGGGTGTGTGACAGGCAACCATACAATGATGTTTCTCTTCCTCTCTTTCTCCTTCCCTTCCTCTCTCTAAAAATAAATAAAATCTAAAAAAAAAAAAAAACCCAAAACCAAAAATAAACACAAAATTTTAAATAATTTTTAAAAGCCCCAGATGTAGTCACCTTCACTTTGCAGTAACTGCTGACACTGTCACCCACTTACAGAAGAGGAAACTGAGGCACAGAGAAGTGGAGCAAGTTACCCGAGGACATGCCACAGGTACGGACAACAACAATGGGAAAGGAACTAGGTCTTTTTGGTTCCCCTTCCCTTGACAAGCCCGCGACACATTTCTGAGCCACTGGAGAGGAAAGGGTGAGATAAGAAAAGGCAGAGGCCAGGGGGCGAAAGAAGCCGGAGAGGTGGGCCGAGGGGAGGAGACTGACCGTGCCGGAGGGAACAGCGGGGCTGGAGGAACCTTCCGTGCTCCTTCGTATTCCTTCCTGTGGATTCAGGATGGGGTCCATGAGGAGACTAACCAGTGAGATCTAGGGGAAGAGAACTGGAAACCTGGGTCCGAGGGAGGAGGGGCTGGGAGCCGGACTCCCGGGTCCGAGGGAGGAGGGGCTGGGGGCGGGGACTCCCGGGTCCGAGGGAGGAGGGGCTGGGATCTCACCCTGGCCTTGAGCAGCCGCTCCCGCTCCGCCACGGCCTGCTGCAGGAGCCGTTCCATGCGGGCAATGTCTGGGTAGAGCGCCCCATAGCTAGGCAGGAGGGAACAGAGACCAGGGCAGGCTATAGTGGCTCTGCCTCTTCCCCCCTATCTCCGCACCTTCTCCGCGACGTCTCACCTATTCCCAGAGCCACAGTTCAGCAGCTGATAGAGTGGGTGTCTCTCAGAGTCTCCTGCTGCTGGGGTGAGGGCTGAGGCCTCCAGGGGTCCTGGGGGAGAAGAGGTGGGGCTAGGGCAGGGGGCTGGGAGTCTCCCTCGTTCAAGCCCCTCCACCTCTCCCCAGGCCGGCATCCATGCCAAGTTCCCCTATCCTGTGCTGCCGGAAGCGGGGCAGTTGGGAAGGGGGAGTGTGGGGTAGGGCGGGCGTCCTCACCAGCACAATGGAGGGACAGAGGTCGGGGGGACCCCCTCTGGCTCAATCTCTCTCCCCTCTTCCGGGACATGCTTCCAGTCCTCTGGAGGCCGATGGAGCCCTGAAAACACACAAGCAGATGTTCAATCTCAACCGGAAGTCTAGAGGAAGGCCTGCCAAGTAAAACCACCATCTAACTGGCACAGATCAAAAAGCTACTATGAACGTGATGCTGAGTGAGCGCTAACAGTCGCAGAGGGAGGGCCACAGGGTGTAATGTCCAGAATGGGCTACTCCACAGAGACAGGAAGTAGGTTAGTGGTTGCCAGGGACCTGGGGAAAAGGGGCAATTGAGGGGTGATGGCTAACGGGTACCGGCTGTCTTTGGGGGTAATAAACATGCCCTAAAGTGGTGGTGATGGTTGTGCAACTCGGTGAATCCACTAAAAGCCACTAATTGTACATGTTAACTGGGTGAATTATATTTTAATAAAACTATAAAGAAAAACCCACTGTGTGGTGCACATGTGGAAAACTCAAAACACTCTCACAAACTGAGAAGGGGCAGTTCTGTTGAAACAAGCTTTAAGGAGGCCAATTTGGCTCTCTTTTTAAAATAACAAATGCATAACTCTTTGAGCCCCGGTTCCACTTGTAGGACTATACCCTATGGATATATTCATATATGTGCAAAATGGCTTGAGTTCAAGGTTATTCCCCTCAGAAGCCTAGAGACCAACTAAGTGCCCATGGAAGGGGGCAGGGTAAATAAACCAGGGATGATCCACACCAAGAAAAATTCTGCAGCATATACAGTAGAAGCAGAGGATGCTCTTTATATCCAGAGAGAAAATAACTTCCAAGATAAAAGCAAGTACAAAGCAGTGTGAAGATGATATATCTATGCATAAAAGCAGGAGAGAGTATATCCATGACAGAATACATAAATATGAAATATCTCCAAGAAGACACAAGAAACTGGTCACCTTGGCCACCCCCAGCAGATGATCTGAATGGACGGAAATAATAGTGAAAAAACCTCTCCTCTGAATATCCTCCCATGCCCTTTGAACTTTGAACAAGAGGAATGGTAACTTGTAAAAAAAAAAGGTCAACTAAATGCAACCTCTGTTCCTGGACTAGAAAAAAAAATTTTTTTCCTTTGGTTTTTGCTAGAAAAAACATTAGTGAGACAACTGACAAAATATGAATAAGATCTGTACATTTTAATAGTATAATCTCAGTTAGTTTCCTGAGTTTGATCACTATACTATGGTTATGTGCAAGAATGGCCTTGAGCCTGGACAGGCGTGGCTCAGTAGGCTGGGCATCATCCCACAAAGCAAAAGATTGCTAGTTCAATTCCTGGTCAGGACACATGCCTGGGCAGAGGGTTCAGTCCCCAGTTGGGGTGGGAACGAGAGGCAACGGACCAATCAATGTTTCTCTCTCACAACAATGTTTCTCTCCCTCTCTTTTTCCCTCCCTTCTCCTCTGTCTAAAAATAAATAAAATCTTTTTAAAAATAAATAAATATTAAAAAATGAATGACCTTAACCTTATGTGATAATACACAAGTATTTAGGGAGAAAAGAGAATCACATTCCAGAAAAGAATAATAAAGTGTGTGTGTGCGTGTGTGTGCGCACGCACACACAGACTGAGAAAGAATAAGGCAAATGTCAAGTGTGGAAAATGTTAATTACAGAATCTGAGTGACAGCTACACAGGGATTCTTTCTACTATTTCTGCAATTTTTGTCTTAAATTATTTCAAAATGAAAAGTTACAAAAAGATGAAAATAAACATATATGAGAATAATAATAAAGAAATAAAGTCAAAATCATTTTTTAAAGAAAAAAAGCAACAGCTCTGCATGAAAAAGTTGCATAATTTGAGAACCAATGAGAATACTCACTGCTATAGATTATAACTCATCAAATACATTTAGTCCATGAGTTAATAATAACAGAGAAGATCAACTTGGTTACCTTGGGAGGGTGCAAGAGAACCAACTCGATTTCAAAGACAGTTGAGTAAAGTGAAACCAATAAGCATTTTCCCTACATTTCCTACAAAAATCATAGCCCTGGGTAACAAAACAGTAAATGAAGGCGCATCCCTTTTTGTAGAAATATTTCAATCATACAAATAAACATATCATCAGAAAGTGCTGGGAGCCCTGGCTGGTGTGGCTCAGTGGATCAAGTGCTGGCCTGTGAACCAAAGAGTAGCTGTTTCAATTCCCAGTCAAGGGCAGGTGATTGGGTTGTGGGCCAGGTCTCCAGTAGGAGGCACACAAGAGGCAACCACACATTGATGTTTCTCTTCCTCTCTTTCTCTTTCCCTTCCTCTCCCTCTAAAAATAAATAAATAAAATCTTTTTTTTTTTTTTTAAAGAAAGAACTGCTGGGAGCAAAAAGACTAGGGCGTTATAAAAGAGGGTCACCTTCTGCCCTGGCCAGGTGGCTCAACTGGTTGGAGTGTCATCCTGTACACCAAAACGTTGCAGGTTCGATCACTGGTGGGGACTCACGTGGTAGGCAACCCATCAATGATTCTCTCTCTCGCTTTCTGTCTCTCACCCTCCCCCTTCCTCTCTCTCTAGGGCCAATGAACATATCCTCAGGTAATGATTTAAAAAGAAGAAGAAGAAGGCAGCCAGGGTGACTGAGGGGAAGCGTTCCAGGTAGAGGAATTGGCAGGTGCAAAGGTCCTGGCTGGTCAGAGCTCCTGCATCAGCACAGCATGCCGGGGAGGGTGGCGAGAGGTGGGCAGGGGCCGGACCATGCAGGGGCTGGCCGGCCAAGGTGAGGAGGCCTGGGGGCCCCTGAAGGCATTTGACGGGGAGGGTTGAAGCAGCAGGGCTGCTGTGTGTGGAATAGGTTGTTGGGAGATAAAAAATAAGACGCAGACACCAGTGAGGAAGCCAGTGTAAGGTCACAAAAACCAAAGATGGGGTGGAAGTGGATAGAAGGATGCCAATAATTGTAACACCACTAATAATTGTAACTGTCATCAGAGTACCAGCAGTCCGCACCCACTGAGCATCTACTCTGCCAGGCGCCACGCTAAGCCTTTAACCATCAACCAGTGGTGCTGTTATCACTCCCATTCTGCAACTGGGAAGAACTGCCAGCTGAGCCCAAGCAGGGGCAGTACTCTTAGACATCACGTGATCCTCGAAAGAAGGGGTGGAATTTGAGGATTTAATAGGACTTGGAGTGAGAGAGAAGAAGGGGCAAGGAGGCGAGGAGTTACCCACTTGTTTGTGTTTATCCAGCTGAGTGAAGAAACACTCCCTGCTTCTGCTGTGCTCTGCAACCCCCAGCTGCTCCCTCTGCACCCGTGCGGACCACCGTACCCACTTGGATTCTGAAGGAGCCCTGGAAACCCTAGTCTCCTAAAGGGCACAGGCCGCGGAAACAGACACACAGGGTTCAGACCCGCCCTGCCACTTCCTGGGTGTGTGACTTTGGCAGGCCATTTCCGTGCCCAGGCTGGACCTCCCTGCTGTGAAGTGGGCGATGGCCCTTTGCCCCGCCGTGGCTGATGCCAGGATTAAGTGAGTGACCTCATGCAAAGCACACAGAGGACTGCCTGGCCCGGCCCCCCACAAGACACCCGCTGCAAGGCGGGTATGAGATCCACACCAGCAGGTCCGGGGTCCGCCTGGCCTTAGAAGCTCCGTGTCCACAGGAGCCGGTAACTCAGAAAACAACTCCATAGGAATGGACACAGCTTCCCATTGAGTATTTATAGACATGCAACTTACTTACAAGGGTCATATTTACTGTAAGTTGGTTGCCTGGCAACCCATCTGATATTCCACCTTTATCAGCCTTCCAGGGAAATCAATTAGAAGGTCAATTTCCCAGATATTATCTGCTCACTCTTTGCCCTTAATAGGACCTACTTTGGGGGATTCTCCTGAGCAAAAAAATGAAATGATAAATTTTCATTTTATATATATAACTTCATGAACATAAGTGTCATATATTCATGAATTATATATTCATAAATCATACAAAATATTTATGAATATATATGAATACATATAATTTTATGTCAAGTTGCCAATATTTTGACTGCTTTTCACCTCCAAATAATAGCTGTTCCATATGGTTCAAAGTGATAAAAAGACTTCAAGCAGACCTTGGCCTACATGAATGTCTTGAAAGTGACTGTTATTATTAGTATTAATTAATAAGTAGTCCTGGCCAGATAGCTCAGTTAGTTAGAGCATCATCCCAGTACGCCAAGGTTGAGGGTCTGATCCCTGGTCAGGGCACATAAGGAGTTGGCCATTGAGTGCATAAATAAGTGGAACAATTGCTGTTTCTCTCTCCTTAAAAATCAGTAAATAAAAAAAAAAGTAAGGTAACATTTAAAAAGTATTAATAAGAAAGAATGTAAGACATTGCACATATTATTACATGATATGTATATTAGACAATATAATAATATTCATTAATGTTATTATTGTGTGTACAAAGACACACACACAGATCTTTATAACAGCATTGCTTAAACTGCAAAAACTCAAATCACCATTCACAGAGAGAGGGTCGCTCTATGCCCTAATGTTGAATTGTGTCCACAGGGAAACCCAGAGTACTTGGGTTCAAATCCCAGTTCTGCCACATTCTAGCTAGTTAAGTAACTTCGTCTCCCTGCCTCAGTTTCTGTAAAATAGAGATGAGAAACCACTTCACTGAGTTTTTGCAAGACCAACTGTGTGACTCATGTGTGATGCATTTAAAATGCTGCCTGACACATGATAAAGACTCAGTGAATATCGGTTGTCATTAGTATTACTGTTATTGTTTATATTGTTATCACAGAGTTGTTAACAACGGTGAGTCAGCTCTAAATGTATCAATGGAAAACAATTTCCATGATCGAGTATTAAGCTATAAAATAAAAGCCAACTAAGATACACACTTTTGCAAAAAAAAACAAGAACAAAAACAACTTTCATGATATAACAGGAACCACCAATTAATTTCTAAGCGCTTACCCCACATCCACACAACTGAAACAAAACTTGTTATCTAACCTTCACGCCATTTCAGGCACCACGCCCTGCCATCGTCCACTCTATTTCATTGAAAAAACCAGTAGCAACCCATTCAAGAAATCTTTGTCCCATTAATAAGGTTTCAGAAGATCTGCAATGGAAGGCTACTCAAGAAACAAGAAGTTGTGCCGCTTCTGGGGAAGGGGCTGTGGGCCATTGGGGTGGGGAGAGGAGGCCTTCTTATGCCCTGTTCAGATGCTCTTAAAATTTACTCTTGGATGCACATGTTTTCATTTCTCCAGGGGAGGGGTGGGATGTTAGGCAGAAGGGAAAGAAATTAAACTGGAGCCTGATAAAACTAAAAACACCCTTTGATCAACTCTCCCTGTCCCCCGTGGCAGAGAAAGTCACAGTGGGAATTCTGGAGACGAAGTGACCAGAGGGACAGTGGGGAAGCACCTGCAGGGAGCTGTGAACGGAGAAGAGGCAGGACGAAGCGGAGGCGGCGGTGTGCGCAGCGGGGTCCTGGAGCACCAGCAACTGGCGGTCCGTCTTCTGGGTGAACAGGAGCTGCAGGGAAGGTGACGGTTAATAGGAGCTGGAGGGATCGCGGAGGCCCCACTAGTTCCAGGATGCTCCGGCCACTGTGTCTAGTGCATTCCATTTCTCAGATGGAAAACAAAGGTCCGGAGTCACAAGAGGGCGGAAACGTGGTCCAATCTCCCAGCGTGGGCAGAGAGTGCCATTTCCCTGAGGAGGAGGAGCTGGAGGCCTAACTGCTGGGTCCCAAGGGTAAAAGGGATTAGAGGCCAAGTGTCCTGGATCCCAAGGGAAGAGGGGCCTAAGGCCCTGGACTTGTGGGTCTGAGGGAGGAGGGGCTGACAGGCACCTGAAATCCCCATACCTTCGTGAGGGCCTGGTTGGGCTCAGCGAAGTCCCCGCCAGGGCTTCCCTGAAGGCAATTAAGCTCCAGCAGTCGGCTCCGTTCCTAGGGGAAGGCAAGGCATCAGGACGGCCACCCTCAGGGTCCGAATGGGCCATCCCAGCAGCAGGGAGGCCACGCGATGCCCCAGGGGAAGTAGGACAGTAGAACTGATGGCCACCTACTTGTGTCAGGGCCTGAAGGGCCTCCTCCTTCTTCCGGCTCAGCCCCCGGCTCTCGGCTGCCATCTGCTCCCCCAGCGACTTCAGCTGCTCCTCCAAAACCTGGATCCGGCGCTGCAGGGCACCCCCAATGCCCTCATTATGCAGCTGCCCTCCGCTCCCCAGCTGGCTCCTACGGAGCCAGCCTGGGGTTTGCTCTACCCCGTAGCAGAGACCCAGGGACCAGGGGGCCTGGGAGCCGCTGTGGGGGAACTCAAAGCTCCCTTGTGCCTTCTTCCCTTTGGGGAGTTCAGAAGAGGGGATGGAAGATTCGATATACAGATAAAGCCAAGCGACCAGAAGAAGGACCTAGACAGATCCCAAGAGACAGAGGTGCAGAGAAGGAAGACAGGGCAGAAACACAGCAGAGACGGACAGAAGCTGCGTGAGACAGAGGAAAGGGAAAAAGAGTGACAGAAAAGAGACCCAGAAATAGAGGTGGAGAAAAGAGACACACATTAGAACTTTCTGATCCGAAATTCCAGAAAGCTTGGTGTTAAGTATATCCAAACGTGCCCCCTTTTCCCGTGGGCTTTATCGGACCCTTGACTATGAAGGTCCCAGAAAGGATGGTGGCAGCATCTTTTTGGACTAGGGTTGGACAGGCGTAGACTGTAGTGGTGAAGACAAATAGGTTCATATCCCAGCTGCCCTTTACAAACTAAGTGACTTGGCAAAGATTATGTGAGTATGCCGACCTTCAGTTTCTTCATGTATAAAATGGGCAAAAATAAGATTTGTCTCCTAGGATTGTTGTAAGGATTCAACGATTAAATAGATGTCTGCTATTGTCATTACTCTCATGAAGAACACAACACAGGTCCAAAAGAAAGAATGGGCCAGACATGGAGTGGAGAAGACAGAGAGCGACGGGAGGGAGGCAGGCTAGCAGCCCAGCTCACCCTGTGCTGGGCCAGGCTGGCCTGAAGCTCCTGGACCTTGGGGTCCTGCACGCAAGCTCCAGTGCTGCCCCGAGGATCCTCCTCCTCCCGCCGGCTCTCCCGCTCCAGTTGCTGGAACTCCAGGTCCTCATAGGCACGCTGGGCCACATCCAGCTGTTCCCTCATCTGTGGGCGGAAATGCAAAAGGGCTCAAAGCCAGGACCCCGAGGGCTCAGGGGAGTGAAGGGTTGGGCCAGGACTCCTGATCAACAAGGAAGGAGGCACTCACAGTCTAGACTCAAGTCCTGGGGGGAAGGGGACTCTGGGAGGAGGGGACTGAAGGCCTGGACTCCTGGGTCTTGAGGGGGACGGGGCCTGTACACCAGGTCCCTGAGATGGTCCAAAGGGCCCTCACCTCTTGCACGGCCTGCAGAAGCCGCTCACGCTGGTCCTCTGGCTGTGAGTCGAGCTGTCCCTGGGCCTCCTGGAGTCTCTGGCGAAGACCCTCCACTCGATCCCGCTCCTGACTCAGCCGCTGCTGCTCCTGAAAGAAGGCCAGGCTTTTAGCCTCACCCTGAGCACAAGGGACAAACACAGAGGCCAGCAAGGGCCAGGCCCGCCAGCCCTGAGACACCCCCCTCCCTGAGGCTGGCTTCAGGAGGGCAGGGACCCTGTGCATCTGGTTCACGCTGGCGCTGGCCTGCCCAGAAAAGGCATCATATAAACAGTTGTTCAGGAAATGAATTGATGTAAAGCGTACCCATGCTGAGTGATTGCTACTGGGACCCAGAGCAGGGGGTCAGACCTGGACCCTGGGCTCCAGGTGGGGACACTAGTTACAGCCTGGGACAGTCAGGGCCATGAATTGCAGAGACTGTCGGAACCCGGCAGAGGGGGGAGCAATTTCTGTTGGAATAACCCCAGGTTTTCCTGGCTGTAAGGATTTTAAAGTGAGCCTCAAAGATCAGAGGGCATTTAGACCTAGGGAGGTAGAGGGGGTTGGAAGGACAGTTTGGGGAGAGGGAACAGCATCCTGCAAATGCACCGTGGAGCTGAAAAGTATGAGAAGGTTAGGGGCAAACTCTGTTCAGGAAGGAAGAAGACGTGGTGGAGGAAAGAGACGGTGAGCACAGTGGGAGATGGCAGTGGAAAGGCAGGCTCAGCTCACGCTGGGTTTGCTCAACCAGGCTAAGGAGCCCTTACCCTGGGGCAGTGGGGAGCCACGGAAGGACTGGAAGGATGGAGTGGGATCTAGGTCTGAAATCATCCCATAGGGAGATGGATTCGAGGGGCTGAGACCAGCTCCTTCATGAGTCCTCCAAGCAATGCGGATAAGATGTACACTAGGCCTGGGCGGTGGGGATGCAAAGGGGGCAGAACAGACAGAGAGGACCCGGGAATAGAAAGGACAGGGCACGCTGCCTGACAGGCTGGGTGTGAAAGACAGGGAGGTGTGCCCAGCAAGGTCCCAGACTCTGGCCTGGTGACTGAAGGGAGGGTGAGATAGGAACGATGCAGAAAAGGGAGTTGCTGAGGTCAGCTTTGGTTACGGTGACTGAGAAGGGCCAGCTCCTGCGTCTGAGGGAGGAGGGGCCTGGGCACCTGGACTCCTGTGTCCTGGGGGAGGAAGGAACATCTAGGAACCAGTACCGTAAGCAGGAAACAGAGGTCTGATTATGGGAGAGAAACCAGGGCTGAGAGAAATACAGGCTGTTTGAGGACCCAGCCGGAGGATACTACAACATGCAAGATATGGACAAAGAGATAACTGGATAGAATTACAAAGTCACCATCTCCTAAGCTATAATGTTAAGGGATCCAAGCAATGACCACCAATGGATGGGTGTTAAAGCCTTTAGGCAAACAATTATTGTGAAAGGATGGGGTGACCTTCTGCGGTCTGGACATCCAGAGATGACATCCCCCTGCCACGGCACACAGGAAGCACCGTGAATGCGACGCAGCCTGTACTTCTAACCCGCCACCTGCTGCAAGGCAGATGACCACGGCATAGGCAAAGGACACGGGCCACATCCTGACCATGGGACAGAAGACTCAGTTTCCCCAACAAGCGGTATGAAACAGAACAGTACGTAGGGACTGTTAGAAACAAGTAATGGAAAAAGTCCAAATAAAATAAAACCAGAAAGTAAAAAAAATGAAACAACACACAAAGCATTTCAACCCTTTGGGGGACCTGATTCCAACAGCCAACTGTTAAATGACATTTTTGAGGCAATCCAGAAATAGGAAAGCTGGAAATAAGACAATATTAGGAACATTAATTTTAAAGGGAGTTCTTATTTAAAAGTAATGTGCTATCGGGGATAGGCTTTCAAAACTAGTAACAGGGGCGCAAATGGAGGGAGACGAAGCGGGAATGGAGATTAATCACTGCTGGGGCTAGAGAGCGCGCCACCACACGGCGGCCATCTGGCTCTTCTATTTTGATTGGTTTGACGTTTTTTCACAGTATGACATTAAAAGAGCAAAGAGAGAGGGGCAGAAGTCATTCAGGCCCCCAAATCATGGGCAGGGAGGCAGGAGGAAGATAAGGAGAGGCGTCGGTCCATCACTGCCTCCCATCCCAGCCCCCATTTGGGAATAGGGGTAACCCTGGTCCAGGGCGCCCTCCCCCCAGGAGTCCTAACAGGAACATCCTTCCGACAAGGAGGAAAACTGATGATGAAGACCCAGCGGGACAAACAGACCTGTTCCCTCTGCGCCCGCTGCTCCCCGTCCACCTGCTGCTCTAGCAGCTCCCGGAGTTGCTCCTCCTCCCGCCGGACAGCCACTCGCTCCCCAGCCAGCTCACCCCGCAGCAGGGCCACCTCGACCTCCATCTGCGGAGAAAACGCAAAGGCTGGGGCCCCGAGGCCGAGGGAAGGAGGGGGCAGGAGGCCTAGAATGGGATCCCTGGGAAGAAAGGCCTGGGAGACTTCGCGCCGGGTCGGCACCTCACCTCGATCCTCAGCTCCTTCCTCTGGCGCTGTAGCTCCTTCACTCGCTGCTCCATCAGGGCCACTCGAGTCAGAGCCTCCAGCTGCTGCTCTCGAAGCCGCTGCGCCACCCCGCGCGCCCCTTCCTTAGACTGGGGGGGCGTCGGGGGCGCGGCCCGGGTCTGCACAGAAGGCGGGGCCTCCCCCTGAGATTAAAAGAGCATTCGGTCCAGTGGAGAGGCCTCGCCCCCTGCGGCCGCTAAATAGGTCTGGTCCCTCCCTGCCTCCTATTTCCTGGGGGGCGGGGGGGGGGGGTCCTCAATCGGCCTAAACTCGACCACCACGCTTTTAAACGAGGCGGGGGGTGCAAGTCCCGCGACCACCCGGCCCCAGGGGCTCGTAATTTCAGGAGCCGGCTCAAGGACGGCGTTTCGTTTTCTCTAACCGGGTCCTAAATCTCCGGGCGTCAAGTGCTCGTAGGCCGTGGATCCCTCTCTCCTCCCTGGTCTCTGCGGAGCCTTTCACCCTGTTTCTCTGCGCTTCGTCTCTCCCACTCGGCATCTGTCTTCTGTCTCTGAGTTGCTCCTTCTCTTCCTCTTCCTCGGAGTCTCCCTCTCTCTTAAGGTTTCCCTGTCTCTATTTCTGTTTCTCTGAGCATCTCGGCCCTGTTTCTGGGTTTCTGTCTGTGTGCCATCTCTCTGAATCTCTCTTCCTGTGTCTCTGTCTCTTGTGGGTCTTCTCTTTTCATTGCATTTATTTATTTAATCCTCATCCGAGGACATGCTTAGAGAGAGGGGGGAAGGGGCGGAGAGAGAGAGGAATATTAATGTGAGAGAGAAACATCCCTCGCTGCCTCTCGCTCGTGCCCGACAGGGGACCGAACCTGCAACCCGGGCCCATGCCCTGGCCGGGAATCGAATCCGCGACCTTTCGGTGTGCTGGGCAAAGGCCCAGCCAGCTGAGCCACACCGGCCAGGGCCCCTCGGGTCTTTGTCCCTCCGTCTCCCTGTTTCTGGGTCTCTGTCCATCCGGTCTCTCTATATCGGTCTCTAGGTGTCTCTGTCTTCCCCCCGGTCTGGGTCTCTCTGGCCCTGCGTCCGTGTCTTTGTCTCTCAGGAGTTTCCATATCCCTGGGGCTCCCTCCCTGTCTCCGGATTTCTGTCTGTCTGGCCTCTCCGTACCTGTCTCTCGCGGTCTCTGTCACCCGCTCCGGGTGCCCCCGCACGGCCCCCTCCCCGTGGCTGCTGCCCTCCTGGTCCCTCACCGCGTCGCGGCTGCTCTCAGTGCTGCTGCCTTCGGCCACTTCTTCCTCTTCTTCCGCCTGCTGCTCAGCTCCTCCGCCACTAGAGAGCCCCGCGGGGACCTCGGGAGCCTCCTGCTCGCGAGGGTCCTCGGGGAGCTCCCGGGACTGGGCGGCTCCTTTGGGCTGAACCGCCTCATCGTTCTCTGGGACCGGTGGCGATGGGGTCCCCTCGTCTGGGCAGCTAGGAGTCCCCATGGCGGTGGCGCGCTACCGCGGGGTGGGCGGGGCCCGGAGTCCGGGGGCGGGAACTGACAGCGTGGGGGCGTGGCCCAGGGGCCTGAGCGCTCCGCCCGACAGTTCCAAAGGGGCGCGGCCTAAGAGTTCAAAGGAAGGGACTGAGCCCTCCGGGGGCGTGGCCTGGAGCTTTCAGGGGCGGGATTCGAAGGCTCTCGCCCCGCCCCCAGGGGCGGGATCGGATTTGGGGTCCTGGGTCCTAGCTGGCCCCCTCTAGCCTTCTCCTTTCTATCTAGGTGTGGCACCTTGTTACCCTCCCAGCAGCCCGCCCACCCCCACAATCCCAGGACCACCTTACAGCGACCCGGGGCCTCCTTCTCCCTCGGGGACTCAGGAGTCCGGGCTCCCGTCCCCTGCTCTCCCGAGCCAGGTAGGCTTGGCTCCGACCCCAAAGGAGCGGCGCCCATGTCACCTCACCCAGGAACCGAGGAGCTGGGGCTCCTGGTCCCCTTCCCTCCAGACAAACCAGAAGTCTTGAGTCCTCAGCTCCTCCAGGGAGCTAAATTCCCAAGCTCTAGCCTCCTCCACCCCCGCGGACCTAGGAGGCCAAGTGTCCAGCCCTCTGCTGCCCTGCAACCCCGGCCACCTCACCTGCTCAGGATTCGGCGCGCTCCCTTCTGCACTCTGGGCGCTGTCGTTTCAGCCTCCGAAACAGGTGGCTGGGAAAGAGGGAGGAGAGAGGCGGCTTTGTCCCCATCCACAGCAGCCCGGAAGTGGAGGGGGGGCACAACAGGTCCAACAGCTCCCGAGGGAGGAGGGAGCGACCTGCTTGCCCCGCCCGCGACCGTGGCATCCGGACATCCCGGCCCCACCGGCCGCACCGGCCCCACCCTGGGAAAACCCAGCATCGCGACCCCCCACTCTGCCTCTAGTGCCCCCATTCCCGTCCCTTGGAGGACCTGGTGTCTTGGTCTCATATGAGTAAACGCCTCCCTAATGCCCAGACCCTGGGAATGCTGAAAGAAAGAAGGGAATGCAGAGAGAGGACTCTCCCCTCTAAAGAGCCCTTCAGAAGGGCCCCGACCGGTTTAGGGAGCTGGACAATGGGACAGGGTGCCCTGAGCTGAGTCAGAGACCTGCCTGCAGACAGAGGGAAGTGTACCGCCCCCCTACTCTGCTATGGGGTGGACAGGAGAGGTTAAAGGTGTCAGCCAGACCCTTTCCTCTCTGGGTAAAAACAGGAAAATAACTGGTGTGAGAAAGTATTATTGGGTGTCAGGAGCTGTGCTAAAAATTGATACACATTAATTTAATCCTATCTGCCTAGCAGCCTAACAAGAAAGGGATGTCTATCTCCACTTCATAGTTGGAGAAACTGAGGCTGAGAGGAACACGTGTGCCCAAAGTCTATACACATTGTTGACACCAGCACCAGATATGTTCTCTGGAAAGTCTGTTTCAAACCATTACACAAACTGTCACTCCAAGCCAGGAAATGCCTGGAAGATCATTCCAATTGATAGTGACAATAATAGTTAACACTCATCCTTACCTGCCAAGACTATGCTGCAGCTATTATGGAAACTACTGTGGATGCCTCGGTGGTTGTGAAGGTGCTGCGGCTACGGAGGCTTAGGGCGTGGCTACTGTGGGGACTCTGGAGGTCCAGGACAGATCACCGAGTACGGTCAGGGTAGGCATGGATATGGCTGCTGTCATCCATTGTGCGTGAAAAAGCTCTATAGCTTCTACTGAAAACCTTGATCACGTAAAACAATTCCCCAGAGAGTCAGCAGCTCAATTTCCAATGATAAGAAATCCTCTTCTTTTCAGCTGGAGTTTGTAAGGGATGATCCCCTCTCCATTGCTGAGGAGCCCTCCACCGCTTGTCACTCCAAACACAGGGGTCAGCCTGTGTCCACCCCATGTATCAGATTTCCTGGGCATCTTAAACGAGTGCTTGAATTACAAATGTCAGCTCCTTGCACGACTCCTGCATCCGTATCTTACAATGCTAACATTTTCACTTTTTCAACAAATCTTAATCTTCCTTTAAAAAACAATAGTGGTTAATTAACACTGATAGGAAGCCTGCCGCTCAGGCAGTGCGCCAAGTACCTCGCATATGTGAACTCACTGGATCGTCATAACACATTATTATTATTTTCACTTTACAGATGAGGCCTGGAGAAGAGAATTACCTTATTCTGGGTCTCTCACAGCGGGAAATGGCTCAAACTCAACACGATGTTCTAATCCAAGGAGCCGAGAAGCCATGTCCCAGGTACCTGTTGGCTTCTGCTCTCGTGAGTTAGAATGTCTCCTCTTTTGGGCTTTCTGGCCTCTCCAGGATCCAGAACTAACCCCAGGCACCTCAGCCCAGAAGCCCAACGGGTTCCCCCCAGAAAACAGACAGAAGTCAGACTCAGAACAAAAACAAGATTTTTATTTGTGAAGCTTGAGGGCTGGTGAGGGAGAGGAAGAGGAGAGAGGCTCCTATGATGGCACCTCTCCCCTCACCTCACCAAGTGCATTTCTAATGGACCGGAGCGTCTGACCGAGGCAACCTCAGGAAGGAGGGGTCTGGATCCCACAGCGCATGTTAGCTGGAACAGCAACGTCTGAAAAGAGAAACCAAGGGTGAATCTACAGGGCCCCAGCTGGCCTAACTGGGACCCAGAAATCCTAAGAGCCCTTTTCTTTGGGAAACTGGAGTTCTGTCCCTGAACCTCCTCCTCCCCCAGACCCAGGAGTCCGGGCCCCCAGCCCCTCCTCTCTCAGACCCAGGAGTCCGGGCCCCCAGCCCCTCCTCTCTCAGACCCAGGAGTCCGGGCCCCCAGCCCCTCCTCTCTCAGACCCAGGAGTCCGGGCCCCCAGCCCCTCCTCTCTCAGACCCAGGAGTCCAGGCCCCCAGCTCCTCTTCCCTCAGACCAGGAGTCCAGGCCCCCAAATACTCACCTATCTGCTTAGGCTTGGGCAAGTTCAGGTTGTCCATGACCTTGATGAACTCTTCACAGCTGAGGGTGAGCCGAGGGTTCAAAGTCCTCTCCTCCTCCACAGTGGACACTGTGAGCCCTAGTGGCCAAGGTTTGGGGAGGATTGTCCACCGGTTCAGTGCCTTGGGACTCTCAGGACTACACTTCCCAGAAGGCTTTGGGGTGCCTCTCTGGCCTGGGACTAACAAGCCGTTCACAGAATGTTCCTGAAATTGCTTTCCCTCAACAGGCCATATGGGAAATGTAGTTTCTCACAGTTCCCTAAGCTCTATAAAGAGGTCCTACGAAAACCCATGCCCTCTGGAATTCTAGGTGTCATGGTTTCTACAGTCACACTCAGTACCCATAAGCACTCGACCATTCGGGCCAGCAGAACTTCTGGGAATTGTAGTCCCATGCCCCATGAGGATTACAGTAGTTTGTTTCTCCCTGTCAAACAGTAGTAAATTATGTCAGTCCCATGCCTCTTCCAGGAAGCCCTCACCATGGTAATCATGAGCAGGGTAGATCAGACAGTCTCCTGGAAGTGTGAAGATCTTTTCGTGGACCGAGTGGTACAAGGTCTTAGCACAGCCTAGAGAGGGAAAGCTCAGAGGTCAGTGGCTCAAGAGGACAAGGGAGGCACCTTAGCCGCTCCCCTTAAGAAAAGGGTGGAGGTAGCTAAACCCTCTCCCTCATTTCCTGCCAGTACCCCCTTGTATCTAGGTAGAGAAGGAGAGGGAAGGGTGTTCTAGGCAGATGGAATGGCACATGGAAAGAATTGGGGAATGGTGACAAATTCAACACAGGTGTAAATGAGGTTGAGCTGAGACACTGAAGTACCAAGGAATTGGCCCTCACTGCGCAGACGCCATGAAAGGGTCTGGGCAGGGAAGGTGGACTAGAAGGTAAGAAGCTGAGGGCATGAGACCAAGGAGGAGAATGGCGCCACGGTTCCAGCAAGAAGCCCCGAGTCCTAAACCCTTCCATTTCATAACTGCTTTGGGAGTGGATAAGGGCGAGCATAGGAGCCTCAGAGAGAAAAGGACAGAGACTGAGATGGAGAGAGAGAGAGAGAGAGGGAAGAGGAAGCAAGAGGCAGCCGGGGGATCTGGTTACCCACTACCAGCTCAGAGCGGCTCTCTATCCCCTCTCACCCAGGCTAGCCCTCCTCCCGCAAGGCAACTCAATCCTCCCAACCTAGAGTCAACCCCACATTCTCATCTCTCCCCGCCCCCCGACCATCTCTCTCACAAACACACACACACACACACACACACACACACACACACACACTCATACACTCACTCAAAGGACAACCAAATCTTGTGATTCTGAAACTCCCCTCTCACAGAAAAATCCCTGAATCTAAGTGTCCCCAGCAGCTAAACCCAGAATGCAACAGCCCCCCAGCAATCAAACCACTGACTTTAACAACTTCCCAGCAGTAAACTCCAGAACAGGACTCCACAAGCCCAGGCCCCGCCACATCTCCAGCAGCTAAACCCCTCATGGGGCTTTAAAATATGGCCACAAACTCTTTGACACTTCAAAACTTAACACTAATTCCCTTCACCTTTGACTTAGTGGTCTGGATTAAGGGACTTGGATCTAATAAGATATTGCAGAAATGACAGAAATTAACTTAGGAAACTAGGTCATTAGAAAAATTAGGGCTCCTGCCCTGACTGGTCTGATTCAGTGGACTGAGAGCCAGCCTGCAAACCAAAGTGTCGCTGGTTAGATTCCCCGTCAGGGCACATGCCTGGGTTTCAGGCCAGTGCCCAGCAGGGGGCGCACGAGAGGCAACCACATATTGGTGTTTCCCTCCCTTTCCCTCTCTCTAAAAATAAATAAATAAAATATTTTTTTAAGAAAGAAAGAAAGAGAGAAAGGAAAGAAAGAAAAATTAGAGCTACTGCCCTGACTGGTGTGGCTCAGTGGATTGAGTGCTGGCCTGAGAGCCAAAAGATTGCTGGTTCAGTTCCCAGTCAGGGCAGATGCCTGGGTTGCTGGCCAGGTCCCCGGTTTGGGGGGTGTGAGAGGCAACTAGTCAATGTATCTCTCACAGACTGATGTTTCTCTCCCTCTTTTTCACCCTCCCTTCCTCCCTCTCTAAAAGTAAATAAATAAAATCTTTTTTTTTTTTTAATTAGGGCTCCATCCTGTCTCTCTCTTCCTCTCTTTCTGATCATTCCCTTTGGGACAATCCAGCTGCCAGGTTGAGATGGCCCATAAACAGCCCCACAGAGAGGTTCACGAGGGGAGGAACTGAGGCCTCCCGCCCACAACCAGGGCCAGCTTGCCAGCCATGCAAGGGAGCCTCCAGCCCCAGGCAAGCCTTCAGATGACTGCAGCCCACAGCCTCAGCTTGACTGCAACCTCATGAGAGACCCTGAGCCAAAACCACCACCTAGCTAAGCTGCTTCCAGAGTCTTAACTCTCAGAAACCGTGTGAGAACCTACATGTTAATCATTGTTTTTAAGCCACTCATTTCTGGGGTAACTTCTTTCACAGCACTAGATAATGAACTCACCTCTGAACCTAACAGTCCCCTAGCAACTAAACCCCTCAATCTAACTGTTCCCTTATCAGCTAACCTCTGAGTCTAAATCGACCCCCCCTCCAAAGCTAAACGCCTTGAATTTAACCCTGAGCCCCTAAACGTTTAACACTCATTCATTCATTCTTGCAACTGAGACTTACAACCCT